CTCTCTCTCTGCCCCTCTCCTGCTCACACTCTGTCTCTCTCTCCCTCTAAATAAAAATAAAAATAAAATTAAAGTTAGAATAAAAAACATGCATATGTATATATAGGTAATATATATCAATATATGAGAATATTACTTCCACCAAATCTTAAAAAAGATCTTATTTAAATTGGGGCAAGTTGGGGCACCTGGGTGGCTCAGTCAGTTGACCGTCCAACTTTGGCTCAGGTCATGATCTCGCAGTTGGTGGGTTTGTGCCCCGCGTCGGGCTCTGTGCTGACAGTTCAGAGCCTAGAGCCTGCTCAGATTCTGTGTCTCCCTCTCTCTACCCCTCTCCCACTCACGCTTTCTTTCAAAACATTTTTAAAAACTTAAAAAAAAAATAATAAATTGGGGCAAATGATTGCACTTAGGCTATAACACACACAAGAAACACAAACATGATTGTCCAACCTTGCAGGGCCTGGGAAATAGTGAGTGCTCAATAGCACAAGAATTATAAGCTCTGTGAGCTCAGAATTTTTTTCCTGGTTTGTACACTGTTGTGCTTGCAGGACCTGGCACAGAGTAAGCATGCAATAAATGGCTATGGATTGACTCACCCTCATTAGCCTTAGAAGAAATGTGCAGGATCAGAAAGGGGGATTACAAACTAGCGTACGTGTAAGAATAGAAGGTTGTTATTCAAGTTGGACAAAACACCAGTCTTCATAACTAAACAAAAATGAGATATTTCAATTTACAGCAAGCAATGTTGAGTCTGAGATATAAATACATACAAGTCAATCTCTCCCGGAGCTCAGGAGTTGGAGCCATATCTACAGCACTTTTGCCATGGCAATTGACTAGTGTAGGATCAGCACCATGGCTAAGTAACAGAGAGCAGACTTCCACACGATTCTTGGAAGCAGCCTCATGGAGTGGAGTGAACTGCCAGAGATCCATAGCGTTGACACAAGCTCCATGCTGGATTGAGAAAAACAGTTTCAGGTCAGCGATCATTTCACTGGATCTTAGTACAACTCAGAAGACATTTATCTCATTGTAAATTTCAGCTGTGACTCTTTGAAATGCCAATAAGCATTTTAGTTTCTTTCATTTCAGCTTTTAAAGACAATTTAAAATAGGTTGAATGTTTTAACATTATTTTTTAAAAACATTTTATTTTCTTAAAACTCTTATTGGCTCCCACAACACATGAAAACTCATGACAAGTTAGGGAAAAAAAAAGCAAACAGTATCCAATGTTTTAAAACATCTTTTACCTTAAGTAGCAGTTCTGTGACCTCATAATGTCCATATGAACACGCATTATGAAGAGGCACAAGTCCGCTAAATGGAAAAAAAGGCAATAATGTACCCAAATTTCAAACAAACAACATATAGTCATTTATCTAAGTGCTAAAAGACAAAAACTAATAAATCCAAATATAATTATATTAAAAGCATTTAAAAATATTTAATAAGAGGCTACAAAGCATAGCTAATGCTTAACCTTTTGTATTTATCTTGTGCTTTGTGTACACAATCCTTAAATATGATAAAAACACCAATTAGAAAAGCACTGAGGTAAAAGGAAGGACATGAGCTAATTGACAACTGCATGCTTTAAAGATCAAGTATTTGTAGAAAAATGTTAATGGAGAGTGAGCTGAAACCTTCCTACCATTTTATTTCACTCTGTAGGTAACTGCCAGCATCAGAATGAAACATCCAAACTATTATGACTTACATATCCAACTCTCATTCTGCATGAGTCAAGGACTCCCATTTTTGTGGTGTACTTCTCTGTTTTCAGACAAGCATAAGGGAACAGCGATGTACGAGAGCATGAGGCATTTGTGCCCCTGTACTATGGGGACACCATTCACATAGGGTACATGTCAGGCGAGACAGAAACAGTACCAAGAAGAGGATTTGAAATGATGGATTCCCTCTCTGGTAAGTGTCTCAGGCACTGAGTTGTTTCTTCATTTCTAATGTTTCCTGACAGGGAGGGGGGCAAAGTGAAAGAGACCCTCCTCCCTCCGGGGCTTCTTTTCTTTATGCTGCCAATGACCGGAGTGTAATACGGATCTACATTACCTGGGTACTAAGGTCAATTCTCTTTTATTTTTATTTTTTATTTAAAAATTTTTTGTAATGTTTATTTATTTTTGAGAGAGAGAGAGAGAGAGAGGGAGGGAGAGACAGAGTGTGAGCGGGGGAGGGGCAGAGAGAGAGGGAGACACAGAATCCGAAACAGGCTCCGGGCTCTGAGTTTCCAGCACAGAGCCAGACACGGGGCTCGAACTCATGAACCGTGAGATCATGACCTGAGCCTACGGCGGACGCTTTAACCGACTGAGCCACCCAGGCGCCCCAGGTCAATTCTCTTTTAGATCTGAAGGTGGGATAATGAGAAATGTTAGCCCATCACATAGGAGCAGACCTAATTCCTATGTCTCTGAAGACGAGATAGGAAACCGGTACTAAGTTCCCCAAAACACACCTATTCATAAAATAAAGGGCTTCGCTGCTTTCTTAACTGTCCCTCTCCCCTCCATTCCCACCTCAACCTTTGTAAATGTTCTCAGTTCAGATGTCCAAGATTTTATCAGGATAAAAACCAAATCAGAATATTGTAAACGTATGCTTTCGGTTTATTAATAAAAGATGATCCTTACACACCAGATGAACAGGACAGCTACGTTACTGGATTATCAGAATTTTCTATTTGTTTCATCTCCCTTTCTGAAATGCAATTTGAGTTGAAAAATCAGTAATTGAGAAAAGCAAAATTTAACTTCAAATAACAGAACTGCAATAAAATTGAACTAATTTAGGAAATTACTATGAGAAATCATCTTTAATGAGTAGAACATGGAAATGAAGTCAAACTGAAGTTGCAAACATTCTTAAAGTGCTACACAAGCTATAAAGAAATGGATTTAGGACTTTGTCCAGTGAGCAAAAGCTTTAGTGTATCAGAAGCTAAAACAAAGCATAACAGTCCGTGGGTGAGACCACTAAAGGAAATAAACTGAGGTGCGCCTGGGTGGCTCATTCAGTTAAGCATCCGACTTTGGCTCAGGCATGATCTCACGGTTCATGGGTTCAAGTCCCGCGTCCGGCTCTGGGCTGACAACTCAGAGCCTGGAGCCCGCTTTGGATTCTGTGTCTCCCTCTCTCTGCCCCTCTCCCACTTGCACTCTTTCTCAGGAATAAACATACATGAAGAAAAAAATGTTTAATAAAAACAAAAAAGGAATAGATGGATACACCTACCCTTTGTCTTTTGCATGAACATCAGCACCATGCTGGAGAAGAAGCTGTACTATCCGCACTCTGTTGTAGCCTGCAGCCAGATGTAGAGGCGTAGACTAGAAAAGAAAAAGAAAACACGTCCTCTCTTCGGGTAAATCGTCCTCGCTCTGTCATTTCATCTGTGCTTATGTAGACTGAAACACAATACATTCTAACATACACAGAAAGCACTGAGTTGAAGTGCGAGAAAGTCACATTGCATAATTGGATGACAGTTCACTCACCTCAGGAGTAAATTCTAACTTCAGTGCTGTTCAGCGGTTTCTCCTACTTGTGGTTTAAGGCCTTCAGTAATCTAGCTCCAGCCTACCTTCTCTACTTTATTTCCTATTTCTTTCCAATAGGAATTGTCCTCAGTGTTCTGAGAGGACATGTTATAACCAAAAACATTCTTCCTTATTCTACTTCAACCTTGCCTACTTTTCAAGTTCAAGCGTTTAAATCTCAATTCTACCATAAGGACTTCCCTAAAGATCTGGCTCGCAAAATTTCTCCTGAACACAAAGGTTGAAAAACCTCTCTAAAGAACAATTTGAAGAAACTTTAGTGGCAACAACAAGGACAGTGGACCATATTCATTCCACATGGCTGTTAGCAAGGGGTTAATTTGCTATATCAGAGGCAGTGAAATATAAGATAATATTTAATTCTTCTATTTTATGTACTATAGATGCAGCATATATAAAAAATCTAGTTTCTTCTCAACCAATTTCTGCCACATTAATCTGAACCAAGTTATTAAAAGAATCTCTGCTCATATTTAAAATGGTAATTAAAATAACCAAACTTCTTACCTCTTTTTAAAAAAGGGAAATAACATTAATTAAAAGGTTCTCTGCAACCATTGCAATTTTCCTACCTTTGCTCATTTCCTTAAAGTTTAAATACTGTAACAGCTTTTCACACAAGGCCTAATACACCTTAATGTACTCTCATTTTTTCCTGTCTTCTATTTGGACCTTGATATTTTAATAAGACTTTAAATTTCTTTTCTTCATGTACTGCAAACGTCAAGATACAAAACAATCACTTCAAGGCACGTGGTATATTCTGACAGCCTCTAAGTTTAGGAAATATTTTTGAGTAGTACACAGCTAATAGTGAGGAGATGGGAGTAGGTCAGAAGAGAGTCCTGAAGAGGAAGTCAGGAAGCCTGATTCTATTTCTGGGTCTTATGAAACTGTGAAAGTCCTATTACCTATACATCTCAGCCTCTTCATGTATAAAATAGAGAGAAAATCACCCATCCTAGCTACCTCCAAAATGTGCCAAAAGCAAGCTTTCTCCCATATATAAACACTTTCAAAATGTAAAATGTCGTACCAAAATAGATGATTAAAATCTCTGTATCATCAAACACCTTGCCCATTCAAGTTTCCGCTTTCGGACACGGGTCAAATGTTACTTCAGATGATACTGACAGGAGATGTCAAGTTATTTTTAAAACTGTTTTTCCCTCTCCTTGAAGATTTTAAAGATGTTGCTTTGCTACTTTCTGGTTTGCATCATTTTGGACTAGGAATTTGCCAACATGCTTATGTTTATTCTTTTATACAGGTGGCTTCTCCTCCAGATGCTTTCATATTTTCTCTTTACCACTGGCTCCAAGCAATTTGACTGTGAAGTATACTGGTATACCCTTCTCCTCCTCCTCCCCCTCCTTTTCCCTTCTCCTCCTCCTCCTCCTCCTCCTCCTCCTCCTCCTCCTCCTCCTCCTCCTCCTCCTCCTCCTCCTCCTCCTCCTCCTTTTCCTTCTCCTCCTTCTCCTTTTGTGATGCTCGGGGCTTCCTGGCCTTCTTAGATCTGTGCTGTATAGTTTTCACCAAATTTGGAAAACCTTCAGCTATAATTTTTTCATGTATTTTTTCTGCCCTCTCTTCCGCCATTCTCTCCTTCGGGGACTCCAAAGATACGTATCTTAGGTTGCTTTCCAAGCTTGTTTTTAAGCTTTGTTAAACAGGCCCAGAGCAGCTTTTTAAGTCTAAGACTAATTTTTCTCTCCTAGTGAGGTATTTATTACCCTTCTGAGTACCTTATGATATCTGGTGAATTAAGAGGTTTGTCCACTCTGGCTGGTAGCAACAGACACAGTGACAGATGCTATGTGACCTGCCAGAGTTGTTCCCTCTAATCCTCTTTTCCATGGTTCTTCTCTTGCCTCTTTGGTTTCCTCATACTTATATCAAATCAGTACTCAGCTGAACACTGTAAGCGGACCCTTTGCAGATCTCTGGAGCTCTCCTTTCGCTGGTCTCCAACCTGCTAACTCTTGCCCCATGGTCTCCCTAAACTCCTAATTCCACCTTCTCAACTCAGGGAGACCACGGGGCTCCTCCTGGGTTTCCCCTTTCCTGTTTAAGGACTGGAAACGCTTTCTTGGCAGTAAGCCAGAGCAGTCACACAGCTCAGCTTATTTAATGTTTATCTCTCAGGGATCACTATACGTACTGCATGATGTCCAATTTTTGAAAACCACTGTTTCATAGATTTCATTTGTGTGTGTGTGTGTGTGTGTGTGTGTGTGTTTATTGTTTCAAGAGGGAAAGTAAAACTAGTCCCTATTACTCCATCTTGGCCCACTTTCAGGACTTAATTGAACTTTATACTGCACTTGGGAAGCTTCCTCTAGAGACAGTGACTGCTCTGGATGACTGGTCAATAAGTCAGTAAGCTCTTTTATAGGACATAGCTGACATTTAATATTATACGAAAAAAGTGACACCTTCATTACTGATGCACAAAAAGATTTCCCTTTTTCATATTAAGAATCTTTTACAAAATTTTATTTGTATACAGTTGATTTAATAATAGTTTTTCTGATTCTTGAAAATGAACAAAGTCCCTAAGTAGATGAATACACACACACACACACACACACACATTAACTATTTATTTAGAAGAATTAATCAGAAGAAAAAATATTTAGTTTCTGGATTTTTACAAATCAGTGAGACTAAAAATTATTTATAATGCTTTCAAAATGGCTATGTACTTAGTTTCTAAACTGCTGTGATCAGGTAAAGTAGAAGGTTCTGTAGTTGACAAGGCAGGAAGTGACAGGCTTGAAATAAAGCAGTTGTGGAAAAAACAAGAGTTGAGGAATGAGTAATGTCAAGAACTATTAGAAAGCAGAAGTGACAGAGTCTGGTAACTGATGGATGCAGGTAGTAAGGGATACAGCAGTTCCAGTTTGGAAATGTCAGTGACAGGTGAAAGAAAAGAAGGATGTACGTCGGGGCAGGGAAGGGAGGACAGAAGAGGAAGAGGTTTGGGTTTATGAATCTGAGGTGCCGGATACCCTAGTGATCATGGGACCAACTAGAATTCAGGAGAGGTGAAGGCTGAACACAAATTTAGTTATCACTGGCATTCATTTAAAATATTTTAGCATGTGCAGTGTATCTTGCAGTATGTTAAGTGCTAGGGGTAGCATGGTAAACAAGAAAGGCTCGATACTTTGCCTTGATGAGTCTTCTTCTTCCAAAACATGAGTCCCTAAATGAAATACATACATACTAATTCTTCAGAAGGACAAAAGATGAAGAAACAAAAGCCTAGCTTCTGAGGAATCAACTAGAGAAAGAAAATACTATTTTTTTTTTAATTTAAATTCAAGTTAGTTAACATATAGTATAGTATCGGTTGCAGGAGTAGAATTTAGTGATTCCTCACTTACATAAAACACCCAGTGCTCACCAAATACCGTTAAATGTGACAAACAGTTCAAGATGTCAGGAGAGGCTAGAGGCTGCATACCTAACCCACTCTGGAGGCTAGCAGAAGGGACTGGGCTTAGGAAAGATTCTCAGATGCTTCCTGAGGGGAGACTGGAGGATAAACAGAAATCCCTGAGGCAAAAGGATGGGGAACTTTATTCCAGGTAGTATGAAGAGCACATATTAACACCCAGAGGACACAGAGGAACTAAAGAAACTTCAGTGGCTAAATTCAGTGTATGAGATTGGGGGGGGGGACTCTAAGAACAACGGGAACCCCCTCAAGAATGTGAAGCAGAAAATTATGTAAGACTGCAGTTTGGGAAAGATCGCTCTAGCTATTCCACAGAGAATAAACTGGGGGTAGGGGCCAAACTAACAGCGGAAGACCTGAATTGAAGATCGCAGAGGGAGAGAGATAATGAGAGTGTCAGTTAGCAAAATGGTAGCAGTGCCTCAGTAGGGATAGCTGAGCCAAGGGAGTAGATAACTTTGCAGGGAGAGTAAGTACAGAATAAGCTAGATGAGACTTTCCAAGTAGTCAGCATAATGCGGATGCTAATTATGTAAACTGAATCGTATCACTAGAAGGCACATACAAATCTGTAAATGCATGCAATAAATTTGAGGAAAGGGTACAAAGCAAAAAGAAAAAGTACAAATTAAGAACCAAGGATGGTTTAAGCAAGCTTACACTACTAAGAACCCAGAGGTTTTTCTTCTAGAAAGAAGTTCAGTAGGTGTAACGGTTAGCTAGATGGTAAACAATACACACCAAATACTATTTTCTGATGCAAAGCAATTAAAATCATATGGCCTAAGACTAAATTTAGTGCATGGTTAACACACAGTGGCCACTTTATACTTTTACAATTGCGAAATGGCCACGTAATGATAAAAGTAATTTTCTAAATGCTAGGATAATTAACAGAGTGCAATTTAGGCTTTGAAAAAATAAAGAAAACCCGTTTGTAAAATATTCACACATGTTCCTTGATTTTGCGGTGATTGTAAACTAGTAAACACAAGAAGCAAATATCTAAGACATCATCATACAGAGGCCAGCAATTGCCGTTAGTTTGCACACCTTAGATGGATTCTTAAAACTGATTTTTCTGTTGGAATATTTTAAAAGTCAACTTGAGGAGTGATAAAATATGGGACAATTGCAAATATAAAAACTTTTTTCTCTGCCGTAGAGAACATTACTGATATTTCATATTGTAAAATGTGTATGGAAAAAAGAATCTTTACTGAAAGAAATCTCCTAATTCGAAGTTTCCTTCTTGGAATCAGGCCACAGGAAAAAAACCAAACACATATATCTACCCTTGCCTTTT